ATATATTAAATAGGGATAAAGTTAAAAAGTTATTATATTTTAATAGAAAGTTAATGTAGTTTAAAGTTTTTCTTAATCTGTGCGAAACATGTTAAAAGTGCCTTATAAATAGAACTAGAGAAGTAGTTGGTGTCTCATACTTCATTAATGAAAAAGGAGGCTATTTAACAAGGGAGTTATCTACACAAAATATAATTTATTCAAAATATGGTCCTCTTTGTAAGGCTACTAACAACTCTCTCATTGCCTTCCTAGTCTATAGGTGTTGGACAAATCACATTTATGATTCCTTATCATTTAATTAATGAAGTGGTGATTACAGTGTTAACAGAGGCAGAAGAATCAGAGATGAGTACTACAAGGCCATAGCTCAGAACAACTGGTCGGCTGCAAAAGCATCCATTGATCGCCATCCAAAGGTATTGAACGCTGATTTTGCTACTTCAATGGGCGAAATATTTCTTCATGTGGCTGTGAAAGTTTGGGCATCTGGGCATAGTAGACGAGTTGGTGAGATTAGTTGCAGAAGAATATCTGGAAATACGCGATGCTTACTATGACAATACTCCACTTGCAATAGCTGCTTCACATAGTGAACTCATCCCAATTGCAGTATGCATGATCATCAAAAATAAAAAGGCACCTGCAACTCCAACTGAAGATGCCACGGCTTTTTATTCTGGCCACAACAAAATGGAACGTTATCTTTATTCTGGTCAGGTCTACTTCGCGTCTTATGACTTTTGATGCAGGTAAAAAAAAAAAAAAAAAAACATAAAACATGGCCGTGACGGAGCTGATGACTATGGGACAGATCGAAACTTTTTAATGCATATATCAACAAATGCGTAGCCAATTATGATTTTCTTTTAACAACAAGAGTTGATGCAATTGATAAAGAGTTGGCTTATAACACACAAGATCATGAGTTCGAGTCCCGCTGCCAATATGAGGACGTTGTTAGTGGGTTATCTATAAGTACCTCTATGAGTGTTCTTTGAGTCTAGAGACATGCCTTAACCGTAGTGAGCCATTGGGACTCAACTCACCTAAACTTTCTTGCACCAAAAAAAAATAAGATGATTTTTTATAGAAAATACTTTAATCAGGTTCTTCATACATGTTAAGTTTTTCAATCGCTTGGTCATATGTTCTATTTTTCATATGGGTTTATAATTAAATGATAATTTTCAAAAATAGAACACATAGTCATGCGTGATTGGAAAATTTGACATAATATATATAAAGAACTTAATGTAAGTATTGTCTTTTTTTTTATTATATTATTATTGGTACGTAATTTATTATTTATTTTCTTTGAAAAACATAGGAGGCAGAGAGTGTGGTGTATCCTGTTTTAAATAAAAGAAATCCTCTAGACCTGTTCAGAGGATGGCACAATGAAAGGGATGAATGAGATTGAAATAGATAAAAGATACTGCTTCTTGTTTGTTCAGTTTGATTAATACGAAAATTTAATATGTAGTAACAAAAAATTCTTCACTCACTTTATCAGCTTCATACATATATACACATATGCACACGATACTTCTGATTCTAAATATAAGATCTAGTTTGTAACGCAAATTAAAATGTGCAGATTAAAATTATAGTACAAACTAATTTTTATATTTAAAATCAAGGGTTGTGTGTATATATATACCTAAAAGAGTACGTAAATATTTTATAAAATATCCATGTCAACAGGGCCAGGTCTACTCCACTGCCGGCTCATCTCCGGCCAGCATCTATAATTTATCTTCTACTTATGATCCAAGCATCTTTAAAGAACGCGGAGAAGTACGTGTAGCGGGGAAAATTTTTTGAACTTTCTTAAAACATTGAAAGATTTCTTTCATAGGGGATAAAAACGATTATAAGTATTTAATTTTAAACATCAAAAGCGTGATCGAACCAACATAAATTCAAGACACTAAAATAACAAATTCATTTATAATGAATATAATATACGAATATTGCATACATTAATTACTTATTGAATAAAAACTTCAAATAAAATCAAATTACCAATATTGATTATAAAAATATGCATAACAAATTTTTTAAAATATTTAAATTAACAATACTCTTAATTTTTAATTATTTACAGTATCATTTATAAATAATGTTTGGTAGTTTAACCTGTGAGTAATTAAAATGATTAGAGACTTACAACCAACAAGTACATATGTTCAAATCTAAGCCGTTATCCTTTCCCCTCTGCCAACGCTCCAAAGTGTGCCACGTCACCCACTTTCAAAACGTTTTCCCCGTTAATAGTCACATTGTCTAGATGAGGTGGTAAAGTACTGAGCAATAACTAAGGAAACACAATATTGGATTCTGATTGTCATGTCCAAAGATATCAAATAAAGAGGTAAGCTCGCGTCGCGTCATAGTTAATTGAGCTATGGAAGGGAGGCGCAATTTTAACGACATAGTTGCAGAGCCACTCACGAGAAACAGCAGTGATGATTGGTTCGAATGGGTTTGGAACTATCTGATATCTCAAGATTTCTGGGAAGTGACGAATAATAGCGCAGGACCAGACGAAAATCATTTGGAAGATTTTGCGAAATGGAGAAGAAACAATGCTGCAGCATTGCACATCATCCGTATCTCTTGTGGGCCTGAGAATCATTCTCAGCGAAACACCTCTCCATGTGGCTGCAAAATTTGGGCATCTGGACATAGTAGAGGTGTTGGTGAAATTAGTTGCAGAAGAATCTCTCGAAATACGCGATGCTTATTATGACAATACTCCACTCGCAATAGCTGCTTCACATAACGGACTCATGCTATATGATGTTGGTGCATAAATAGATATTGCCTTGCATTTGCTCCAACGACGCACGGAGCTGTTTTTTGCTCCTGACCCAGACAAGGAACCAACAATTCAGAAGATTGCGTAGATTTTGCTACTTCAATGGGCGAAACACCCCTTCATGTGGCTGCAAGGTTTGGGCATGTGCGCGTAGTAGAGGAATTGGTGAGATTAGTTCCAGAAGAATATCTTGAAATACGTGATGCTTACTATGACAATACTCCACTTGCAATAGCTGCTTCACATAGTGGACTCATCCCAATTGCAGCATGCATGATCAACAAGAATAAAAATATTCTTGCAATTCCAACTGAAGATGATTGGGACATTCCGGTTACCATGGCTTTTTATTCTGGCCACAACAAAGTGGGAGGTAATCTCTATTCTGTCACTCCCTTGCAAGTCTTAAACCGGAAAACGGCACTGTGGGGCCTTAGTTCCTCCAAACCTGTTTGAGATTTGGAGAATTAGGTAGCATAACTTTTAGATATATAATTTTATACACAAAGCATAATATGTATGTTTCATCTTCATTTTTTCCCTGTCTGATTATACTTGTTGTCATTTTGCCATTATGTCTCATACTATATGAAGTTTAATACATGAATATATAGATATTGCCTTGCATTTGCTCCAACAATGCACGGAGCTGCTTTTTGCTGCTGACTCAGATGATGAGGAACCAACAATTCAAAATATTGCACGCTATCTTCCTAATTCTCTTGACAAAAGTCAATTTTCGTTCTGGAAGCTATGCCCTATCACTGTTAGTGCATATTATTACTTTCTATTTTTCCCTGCAATTTTTTAATTATACACTAGCCAAATATGATGATGAGGTTAAAGATGGTGAAGATGAAGTTATTTTAACAAACACCGGTATATATAGTTTAGTTTTTTTCGTGTTATATTCATCAATATTTGGTCACATATGCTGGGTCATTAATAAACTTTTTTCAAATATATATTACCCCTATAACAATTTATTAGGAGAAGACTTTAAGTCATAGTGTTTCTGTATACTTTTAAATATGTGCAAAGTTGAAAAAAAATGTTCTATCTTTAAATAAAGTTAATGAGTCAATCATCTTTCTCTGGTTGGGAGCACATTTCGTGCTAATTACAATTATTAGCATTGATTGCTCATCTTAATTTAAACTATCCAAGTCGATTTTGGATAGTCCAGTTTGAATTTAAACTTATTATATATTTAATTAATTTTTTGTTTGAATAGATATATAATTTAAAATAGATATAATCTTATTACTAAGACTTCTTTAAAAAATAAATTTATCATTGAAAAAATTGCATATTAAAAATTTTAAATATGAATCATTCATATCAGATATTAGATGGTCTGGATTGCGTTATAGTGATGAGCATAGGATATTCATAACTGTGATGAGTACTAAATGAGGGCCCTCTCTAATCCTGGTGAGGTAGTTATAATATAGACTGGATAGAGTATAAGGGAAGTCAAGTATGTACAAAACATATTGGACACTGTAAATTCAAACAATAAATTTGCTACAATTAATAACCAGTCTTTGAGTTTTAGGCATAGTTTTGTGGGAACGCTAAATCCATTATTATATGTGTTGACGAATGTGAGTTCTTTGACTAAAAATTAGAAAACTCCTTTGCTTCTCTCTTCCAAGCCTGTTCTTTAATATAGTTAATTTTCACTCAATGAATTTGTCCTTTTGCATGATTGCTGCAAAATTTTCCAAAATCTATCAATATGCTTAATCGCTTGCAGTGGACAACAACTCTGTGTGTGTGTGTGTGTGTGTGTGTATTTACAATCAGTGTTATCTTCCGATAATTCATTATCGTTGTCAGCATAATAATAGTATTTGTTATAAGTACACTACATCTAATTCTCATTACATAAGATACCTTCTACAATTTTTTCATGGTCAATATAAGGCTCTTTCAAAATTTGGTTAAACGTTTATGGCGTATTTCCAAAAATAATGTTGGCTAAACAATTTCCAAAAATATATTTATGTAATTAACCCTCAATTTATTAGGAGGTGGCGGCAATTAATTAATACTATTTACGTAATTTACTTGTACTTCTAGTTATTTATTGCGTTAGTATTTTAAGAAGCTTGTGTTTTCCCATTTCTTTGATCACTTTTGGGTGGAAGATATGAAAATACCATCAACCAAAATGACTGGACATTTCTGCGTAGATATTCAGCAAGAAGGCGAGAGCAACAAAGCAGGTCGAGGTACAATATTCCCTATCACTTTGGAAGATAAAATCAAATAATATTATATAACTATTATTATTATAGAACATAGATTATACCAAGTATACCAATTATTATTATAGAATTAACATAGATTATACCAAGTATACAAATGTCCATGTCAACAGGGCTAGGTCTGCTCCATTGGCTCGTCTCAGGCATCTATAATTTGTCAGGTAGGTATGTATGTAAGTATGCCAAAAAGTTCCCCAGAAGTTAAATTGGATGCCTTTGGTATTTTAGTTCTATTTGATTTATAGCCAATGGTGCAGGAATGAAGGAAATACATAAGATGAAGGTGCAGCATGCACAAGCAGCTGGAATTCTAAACCTAGTTTGTGAGAATCTGGTATATTTGAATGAAGTAAAGAAGAATATGGTTGGAAAAGCAATGACATCTGTAGCTAAAGAAGAGAATGTTGAGTTTTTGTTGCGAGTAACAAAGGCAAACCCAGAATTAATCACGCTAGTCAGTTTTGGCCAGCCAGACTTGACCATTTTCTTTGACGCTGTTGAATATCGTAGAGCTGAGATTTTCAACCTCCTCTGTGGTTTTCGCTTTAAGAATGTGGTGGCGACATTAGTTGATTTGGAGAACTCAAATACCTTGCTGCATGTGGCAGCTATGTTGGCCCCTTCTTCCTACCTTAATCGGATCCCTGGTGCCACATTGCAGATGCAAAGGGAAATCCAATGGTTCAAGGTTAGTTAGAAGTGAAATTTAATGCTTTTTCCTTGGATAATTATTTGTATATATACACATAGAATGCAATAATAACATGGAACGAGTTTGAAATAAGCTCCTAAAGCTCATCCTATATGAACAGTCGAGATAGATAAGGACCCAAACCAGTTCCGAATAACATTGAATTAGCCTAAATGGAACAAATGTCAGTTTTAATATATGCAATTAATCAACACTTCTATTTTGCTACTTTGTATCTTTTATTAATTGCTTATTATGTATTTATTTTCTGTAAACGTAGGCCGTCGACAGTGTGGTGGATGCGGGAACTAGGCTATCCGTAAACACGAACATGTTGAACCCTCTAGAATATTTCAAAGAAAACCACAAAGAACTTAGGGCTCAAGGAGAAAAATGGATGAAAGAAATAGCATCTTCATGTTCAGTTGTTGGCGCACTAATTATTACTATTATGTTTCCCGGAGCATTTACGGTTCCAGGAGGAAACAATGAGATTTCAGGATACCCAATATTTATAGAGAAAAAATTATTTAAGGTTTTCTTAATTTCAGATGCAATGTCCTTGTTTTCGTCCACTACTTCTATGCTCACATTTTTAAGAATCCTCACCTCATGCTATGCAGAAGAAGACTTCCTTTACTCACTACCTAAAAAATTGATAATAGGTCTTTCTACACTGTTTTTGTCTATTGCAACTATGATGATTGCCTTTTCAGCAACCATAATGATCATGTTACAATATAACTTATCACGTTTATGGGTTACTCTTCCTATTATTGTGCTTGCTGGTATTCCAGTAACCATCTTTGTACTATTACAATTCCCTCTTCTTGTTGAAGTAACTTCTTCCACTTATGGTTCTGGCATCTTCAAGAAGGTGGAGAAGTGGCCATGAATTGTGCATGTAATTAATTCACATCTTATCATATATGTATTATTTTCTAGAGGATGAAATGTGTGTGTACTTCATGTCTTTTTATTACTATAGCAGGAAACATATGGGCCCGCTATAGTTTGAATCCAAATAAAGTTGAACAACTTGAATTTAAATTAACAGAAAGTTTAATTGTATTCATGAGCTTTTTTTCATCAATAATAAGAAATTTCAGTTAAGCAAAGAAGTTATGGTTGAGAGAATTAATTAATATCACAAAAAATCACCATCAGTTCTTGGTTGTGTGTGTGAGAGAGAGAGAACCCCGTGAAATTAAAGCCTCAAAAATCAAGCTGCCAATGATAATTCCTTTCAAGATATGATTGATGACTGTTTTCCTAACTTTTGTATATATACATAATGTAAAAGGGATAATTAACCTCTGGAGTGAGAGAGGTACAAGATTTAGATACGGGTATTGTGTTTAAGTTTACATCATGGTAGGGCACCTTATGATTGTGTAATAATTCTCTACGTTCAGACGTAAAATGGGGGCTTAGAAGAGATCGAAAAGCTATTTGCGTTTTAAAAAATTATTAATTAAAAATAATTTATCAATATAATTCTACCCTGAGAAGTGCTTGCTAGACATCCTGGATTATGCCAAACGGACGCATTATATTCTCGAGTATTGGATCGGCCGATCCGAAATAGCGATCTGATTAATGCTTACCTTTATTAGCGATTACTTTACAAAAGCCCAGAAGACAGAACGGAACATAAGAAGGCTGAGGCATTAACATATCAAATTTCCGTCAGAGGAGGGAAGCTGCACGCACACACACACACACACACACACATCTCCAAGTTCAACTGGTAAGTAATGTGTATGATTGATCTCTGTTCCTTTTAACAGAAAATATGTGTAGTTATCAAGAAATATTGCCCATTAATTGGTAGCTGCAAGTCTCTCCCCTCATCACTGTAATCACCAATTCTTGCAGTTTCAGAAATTAAAATACACATTTCATCCCAAAAAGAAAATTTTTTTGAACTGTATTAACTCACCATTAAAATATAATAACTTTTTAATTTTATTCCTGTTTAATATAAATACTATTTAAGAAAATAACTATTTACACTATAATAAGTGATGGATAAAATAGTACATTCATATTAAAAATTTAATGAGATGACTTATAAATAGGATTAAAAAAAATAACTTTTTGCTTACTGAAATTTCTTATTATCGATGAAAAGTTGCTCAAGAATAAAATTAGACTGCCAAACTTTTTATTAATTTAAATTTAAATTGTTCAACTTTATTTGGGTTATTCAAACTATAGCAGGCGCATGCATCATATGTTGTAATAGGCCCATGTATCCTGACATATTTCCGAAAGCACGATTCTCGGAGTCTGAGAGAAAATGGACATTGGGGATGAAGCAAACTAAAAAGCATACACTACTTTAAAATTAATTAATTTGGCATAATCAGACATCAACATGTTTATGTTCTGAATGTGCAAAGGTTGATGATACACACACATCACCAACTTATGCCCTTACTTAAGCTAAAAATAAAACCAGGTGCTTTACACTCGAGGGGATGAAGAATTTCTAATTCAACAGAAAATACATAAAGTACTAAGATATGAAGTGCGCACACATTTCATGGCCACTTCTCCACCTTCCGGAAGATGCCTCGACCATAAGTAGAATAAATTATTTCAACAAGAGGGAACTGTAATAAAACAAAGATAGTTATGGGCACGCTAGCAAGCATAATAACAGGAAGAAAAGCCCAAAAAGGTGATGAGTTCTGCTGCTACATGATGATCATTGCTGAGGAAAAGGCTATCAGCATAGTTGCAATTGAGAGAAAAAGTGCAGAGAGGCCTATGATCAATTTTGTAGGTAAGGAGTAAAGAAAGTCATCTTCTACATAACGTGATGTAAGAATTCCTACAAATGTAAGCACTGAAGAAGTAGAAGCAAACAAGGACATTGCATCTTGACAAACTCGATTATTTTTATATATTTTGGTATCTTTTATATGAGTTTTGTCAGCTTAATTGGTCCCTTTTTGCCTTAATTGATTTATTTTGTTTTATTTTGAATTATTATTTTATAGGGGCAAAATTGTCATATTTTGGTTTAATTGTGACTAATTAATTTTTTAGGACAATCAATGCTACCTTATCCTTGAATTTTGCTTGCAGGTTCTTGGAAGATTCAAAAATATAAAAAAAAAAAAGGAAAAAAAATAAATAATAATAATAATAATAATAATTAGGGGGGCAAAACGTTGCGTTTTGCCCCAACCTAATTATCATCTATTATATCATCTTCATCCGGGAAGCTGGGGGCGAGAAGAGACACACGAACACGCCGCACGGAGCTGAACACACACACGAGGCGGCTCGAGGGAACCGGGGAGCGAAACAGAGGACGGAGAGGCGGCCGAACGAAACAGAGGAGACCCACAAGCTGAACGGGGAGCGAAACAGAGGACGAGCTGAGGCGGCCGAACACGAAACAGAGCAAGGCGACACCACGAGCTCGACGAACCAGATCAGCGGCGCCAGAGGAGAGGCTTCGGCGGCAGAAGAAATAAAACAGGAGCTGGAGGCGGCGTCGTCTGCTTCTTCTTCACTGCTGCCAGCAACGAAGAAGGAAGAAATCATCCACTGTTCCATCGAGCTCACGGCTGAACCAGAAACAGCGTGAACAGTAGTATTATTATTTTTCATGGAATCCTGTAGCAAAATTCTGAATATGACATTTCTCATGGCAAACCGTGGCTAAGATCCTCTGATTCTCCAATTCAACAATAATGGCAGGAGCTTGGATCTTTAAAGGGGAGTTCTAGTTGCTTTAATTTCTTACTCAATAATTGTTTAACAATTCCTAGGTCTTAGGATAGTTTTCTGATTGTTGGGATAATTGTATTGCTTAATCTGATTATATTTGGGGATTATTGTGACTGAATTATTGCTTAGTATTTGACATTGGACTGTTTATAGTTTTGATCTCAATTATAATGTTGTGGTTATGACATTTGTATTGATTTTGGAATTAATATATTGTGATTTTCTAAGGTGGCTTAGAATTTTGGATCATATAGTCTCTTGCTAGCTTTAATTCTATTATTTTGGATTTAAGAGTTCTAATTAAGCATTGGTTTTTAGCATCCTTAATCCCACTTTACTATTCTGGTTGCAGTTAGTAAGTTGGGATTTTAGGAAAATATTTTGTGGCAACTCGAGGTGGCTCGGTTGTTGGATCAAAAGCTTAATTATAATTCTTAATTCATTGTTTTTAACTCCCACATCTTTTAGAGTGATGATTGCCTGTGTTGTTGAATTGGAGGATTGATTTTTATCAGTGTTATTTGTGTGTCTCATTTTCATTTCTTTAATCTCCATTCATTTAATCACTTTTATATAAAAACAAAAAAGAAAGTATTTTAATTTCAATTTGATTCGTAGTATTTAATTAACAGCTTTTCAGAATCAAAAATCTCTTTTTATAGTTTAGGTTACTTGCATTTATTTACTAGGGTTTAATTTCGTTTTCGGCTCCTCAAAGTGAAACGACACGGGTTGTGCACTATATTGCATTAATTCGGTTAATTTTTGGAGTAACCCCAAAGTGACAATTAAGGGCAGTTCAACTTCAAGTGGCGCCGTTGCCGGGGAGCCAAGAAATTGGTTCCCTAGTAATTAAGTGTCAAGTAGCCTTGATTGGGGTTCATTTGTTGAGCCTTTTTAGTTTTCATTTTTGTTAGTTTTTGCATTTTCTTTAGTAGTTTGCATTTGTTTCTATTGATTTTTCATAGCATTTTTTTTTCTTCTTCTTTCTTTGCATAAAAAAAAATTTAAAAATACAACTAAATATCTTGATTTTTCATTCATTGCATTTTTCATTCTCATACGCATACACTTGCATTGCATTGCATTCATCTGTTTTCTTTGTTTTATTGCTTTTGGTTGATTGATTGTTTATGCCAAGAAAGGGTAGGTCTAAAACCCTAGTTCCTTCCAATCTTGAGCTTCAAAGTTCTTTAAGAGAAGTTAGACAAGACTCAAGGGTAGAAAGGACTAGTGAGGTTGAATTAGACAATTTAACTGATCTAGATTTGGTGGTTGACTTAGGTGACATAATGGAAACAGTTAATAATCCTAATGGTAACAACAATGGTGGTAATGAGAGAGGGGGCAATGGACATAATGGGGAGCATGACAGAATAGGAGAGAATAATGGAGATAACCCTAGAAGAAGAACTATTAGGGAAGCCACTACTTCTGATGCAAATTATGATCCTTTTAATGTTGCATGCCCTAATGTTGATGTTAATTTTGAGATTAAAGGTCCACTGCTTAATAATTTGCCTAAATTTTATGGTTTGACAGGTGAGGACCCGTACAAACATCTGAAATCTCTCTCTATGGTATGTGCTAGCATGAAGCCGGTTGGGGCTGATCTGGATGAGGTTCTTTGGAAGGTATTCCACTTATCTCTGGAGGGCAAAGCACGAGAATGGTACATGAGCTTGCCTAGTTATATGGCAGATGCTTACCATAACTGGAACAACCTTAGAAAAGCATTCTTGGAGAAGTATTTCCCTGCTTCCCGGACTTCTACATTGAGAAAAGAGATCTACTCTGCAAAGCAAGATTATGATGAGTCACTTTATGACTACTGGAACCGTTTTCAGGACTTGCTTTCTAGATGTCCACACCATCAGATTCCAGATGAGCAGTTAGTCCAATACTTTTATGATGGACTTAAGACCCAAGATAAGGGGATGTTGGATGCTGCTTCTGGGGGTTCTCTTATTGATTTAACTGCTGAGGAGGCATGGGAACTTATCAGAAAATGGCATTGAACCATCAACAGTATAGCATCAGGGAGTCTAAAAATGTCAATGCAATGCATACTAATCCTTCTTCAGTCCACATTCCTCAATTGGACACATTCACTTCTCAAATTGCTGCTTTGACTACACAGTTGAATAA